ATTTCTATTTCCCTTCTATTTCAAAAAAAAAAAAAAAAAAAGAAAGAAATCGATTAAACTTCTGCAAGATCGAATTAAAAATTTTAGCGCGATCAAAGATTATTTATCGAAGGATAAAAGGAAAAAAGTAGGGAATAATTTCTGAGAGGAAGAAATTCGCGTTTCTTCGGGAGATCGCCTATCCTCGGATGAGATTTTAATTCAACTTCGATCGTTAATCGCGCCGCGTTGGAAACGGAATTAATTAAAGCTGCTTAACAGCCGGGGCCGGCCAATTATTGGATTTACAACGCTATCGTTGGCAGGGGTTAAGCTGATATACCGATGAATCGGGCTCCGGTTTTCCATACCGCATACCGAAACGCGTTTGTTCCCCCTCTTATTCGATCGACAATCGCAAATTTTCTTCTTCTTCTTCTTCTTTTTTTCTTTTTTCTTCTAAATGTCGCACGAGATAATTTATCGTCGGATTAAAATTAAAATAGAATCGAAAGAAAATAAACATTTATTTCGCACGTGTGCGTTACTCCTCGACCTTTGTTTTCGTTTATGTTTAAGTTTATCCGACATTTCGTTTTCCAGAGAATTTGTACGTACAATTTAACCGCAGAGTGATTCTTGGAAAGGAACGACTCGCAATCACGAGCGTCGAACGTAAACAACATACCTCACGGTCTTCCTTTACTACGCATTCATTATCGCGTTGTCGGTCGTGCGAACTGGTAGCTCGTCGTTAGCTCGTCCAAACCAGTCGATCCAAAATCTTTTTCCGTTTGCCGTCGTTTTTTTTTTTTTTTTTAACTTCAAGTGTTTTAAAATTAACATGTTTCGCTCGTTTCCATTGGGAGCCGTAGTGATAGTGTTCGTTTGGAGAAGCGAAAGTATCCTTCTTTACCCCAACAACTCGTTGTTCCAGGTAATTTTTTCTCTCGATTTTAATCCTTTCCTGCTTTTTACACGTTGTTTATTATATTCTCCAATTTATTCAATCGGATTTTCGCGTTTTAAAATCTTTTCGTACTCGAACAGTGTTTTTCGAGTCATCGAGATCCGCTTTCGTAATTTAATATCGGAAGCAAATCAGCCAAATTCAATAGTATCAGCGTAAAAAAAATTTTTCCCAACGAAATTGTAATCGTGAAAATAATTTTAATATTCTATTTTTCGGATTTCAGTGGTATATCGTTGAGAAATTTATAGAAGGTGGAAATATTTTGTATATATATATATATATATATATATATACGTTTTTTAAAAAGGTTTACTCCACAACGTTCCGTGTCGAGATCCACTTCGCTACTTCCTTGGTTTTCGTTGCCCCTTTGTACGGTTCCTGCGGTTATTTCCTTCTTTCGCCATTTTTTCGCGGAAAGCAAACTTGAACGGTTTATTACATCACCAGATTGGCGGAAATCCGAAGAAAGATGTATAAATTGAAGTTTAGCATGTTACTTTTATTCGTCTCGTTTCTTCTCTTTAATTCTCTAAGAAAAATTTAAAGAAGAAGAGAAAGAGAGAGAGAGAGAGAGAGAGAGAGAGAAAAGTGCCACCAATAACGAAAGAACGCTTTTCCCAAACGAAACTTCTCCTCTCGAAAAATAAAAAGAAAAAAGAAAAAAAAAAAACTTCACAACGATACCTTCGCGAACTTCCTCTACGACTTCCTCCGCCCTCTCCTTCCACCCCTCCGATTTCTTCTCCCCCCTTGAGAGAGAAGTTGTTTCGTGCGCCCCTTAAACTCGCCCCCTCGCCCTCCATTTTCCAGTTCACGATCGGCGTCTCGGTTCCGGTTTCCATGAACAAAAGGGGAAGCGTGGTGTTCTCGTCCGCGTTCCAATTCAATTACAGACTTCCGTCCAACTTGTCGCAGCTCGAGCCTACGATAATGTTGGCCAGGGAGGCGAGGGATCTGAATCTGCAGGACGCTTACGAGGCGATCGAGAATTTGTTGGATCGGTGAGTATCGATACGATCCCCATAATAATAAGTAAATGGAACGAGGATATGGATAGAGGGGGTGGATGGAACGATTATGGAACGAAATTGACCGCGCACGCGCGATAGCTCTCACTCGAACCTGAATCGGGGTAACAACGGATCGGCTCGATATCGGTCCTCGAGTCGGAAGAATAAGCGGGCCGATGAATCGGTAAACATGGGCTGGAAACGAACGAATAAATTCGTAATTAACCGGGACACCGGAATTGGCCGAGATCGTTCACGTTTCACGGGGGGGGAGAGGGCGGGGGGTTAATGAAATTCCATTTTCTAGTCGAGGATCATCCACCCGTGATTCGCCACATTCGTGTTTATCGCCGATAACGCTTACAATGAGCGGTTGATTACGCGAAACGCGAAAGGGGGAACGAGGCCTCGAGTTGCGTGCGCCACTGATATTTGGCGAACCCAGTTTCGACCCCGTTATTTCCCCTCCTCCCCTCTCCTTTCCTTTTGAGCTTGAAACGAATTTTATTTCGTTTCATTTCGTTGTAATTCGATTTTGGATCGTCTCGGTTCGATGAGGAGAATAGGAGGTGGGTCGCGCAAAAATATTAAAAAGAGGAGGAGGAGGAGAAGGAGAGGGTACTTGGTACCTTGGTTCTTGGATTTGCCTGGCTTCTTATGAATCGTTGAGAAGAAGATTCGCAATTTCGATTAGTACGAAATTTTAACGGAGCTCAAGGAAAGGGTTGCGACGGATTGATAAACGAGTGATTGCCAAGATGCGGCAAACGATCGCGAAAGGTGAGGGCGTGGCTGATGTTGCAGCGTCAAAGCGTGGTGCAAAGACGCGGAGAGAGCTCGAAGCGTAACCTAATTGGGGCGTAGGGTAATTGCTCCGTTTTGGAGGGGATAAAGGGGGGGCTGGGAGGGGGGGAAGCGCGAATAACAAACGAATAATTTAGCTTTGGAGCGAAAGTTAAGAAAGAGAGTTGGCCGATACGAAGGGTTGACAAGGAGGAGGGCTAGATGTCGCGTGAAATGGATCGTTAGCCGGCTGAATAGGGTGAATTTCTCATCACGAGTTTTACAAGAGAGATGAGATTCGTCGAGAATTCTCTGGTCATTCTCCCTATCAGTGAGAGAAGTGTTCATTGTTTGGAAAAATTAGAAATGAAGACTGGGCAACATTTACTAATTTTCATTTCCCCCCTCTTTCTATCTTTAATTCGAAAATAATCGAAGAACGTTTAAATGCGACGGCAAATCTCCACCGGTGACAATTTTATTCGAGGCAAGCCGTCCATGAATTTCTCGGATTTTCATTCCTCCTCTTTTTTTTTCCTTTTTCACGTATCTTTAATTCGAAAGTATTCGAAGAATGTTTAAATGCGGCGACAAAAATCGAAATTCGAAATTTGCATCCATTCCTCCATCGGTGATAATTTTATTCGAGGCAAGCCGTCCAGGATA